TCTGCTTAAGGACCATAAACAATCACCACGACCTGCCAATCTTATCCGCTTCCCAAGAAAAGGGACATCATCGCATGTAAGTGACAGAGGGACACACCCCTCCTCTCCCACAGAAAAGGTTTGTTCTCGGGGTCCTCTCTCCCAAGGGCTCAGTCCCACTAGACTGGGGACTTTAACAGAGCCTCTTTCCTGGTTTTTCTTTAAATACTAGATCCACTCTGCCAAGTCGGGCATGTTGTGGGTGCTCTGTAAACATCTGGGGATGAGAAGGATGAAGAAGGGAAGGACCCTCCCAGCCATCAAGATCGGAGACCCCCAAAGGCTGACGCTCCATCCTCTTCCTAGGAAACCTGTAAAGACACCAGGAGAAGCTGCCTCCGAGTTTGCATGAATCAGACATTAAGTCTTCCACGTGACCCCACTCCCACCATCACTGGTCTTCAGCCAAGCCCGTGTGCTGCTCAAACCTGCATGCTTAAGTGTCTCCGGCTTTAGGTGCAAAAGTGAGGTGAGCTCATGGCCTGGTTCAGACCTACTAACTCCCCAACAGTGGCTCTCCATGGGCCAGACTCCCTGGGATGCCTTCTGATCTGTCGTTTACTTGAGATCTCGGATAGTCTCTGGTAGAGTATGTGCGGACTCTGGATGCGGCCTGCTCTGTTTCTTTCCCAACTGGCTCCTGGAAAGCCCCAGTTGTCCCCAGATTTCCTCTGATTGGCTCTCGGCACACTCACCCTGCTGCGTGTGACTTGTGCCCACTGGGATGGCAGCCTCCCTCCTGACCAGCAACTGAGCTTCTGCTTGGGCTGGAGAGTGGAAGGCTCCCAGGATAGCAGTTTGGGTTCTTCCAAGGTCCTTCTTAGGCAAAGTTCTCAACCAGCCTTGCAAGTAGTGGTTCTCAAGGGACACTTAAAAAATAAAGTCCCTGTCATTGCATTAGGTTTTCCAGAGAACAGGAGCCTTTAAGAGAACTGATAGGACTCAACTTTAGAGAAATGTCTTCTATCATCTTGACCAAACCATTGGTAATGTTTAGAATAAGAAAACCAGAGAGAAAGAAGAGAGAACAGGGGAAACTATAGAAGCAGCAGCTTTTGCAAACCAGGCTTGGAGAGGAGCAAAACACTGCATTTCTATCTGTGGGGAAACAGAAGCTCAGGCATCAGACATCCGCAGAGGGACAGGCAGAAGCCAAGACAACTCTCCTGTTTTGATGAGACGTTAATAAAGACACACACACACACACACACACACACACACACACACACACACACTCACATGGAGCTTTTTGAACTCAAGCATCTGGGTTATTTGCACCAGGTTAGTTGGCCAAATGACTTGGAGAGGAAGGAGGAGAACTGGGGTTTGTGGCAGGGACCCCACTGCAGCACACCGGACATGGTAATGACCTCAGGTGAGGAGTGAGGGCCTCCCTGGGTTTCCCAGCACTGCACAGCCTCCTGATACCATGACGGTGACATAGAGGTCCCAGGAGGACCTTGATGGGGCAGGTCAGTCCTGGATCTGTCCATTCACCTTCAGAATGTGCTGGGAATGGCCACTCCCCTGCCTCCTGAGAGCTCTTGGCAGGATTGGGAGAGAATGGTTGCTAAGAAACATTGAAAGGACCCATTCCAGATGAGTGGAGAGGATTACGACATTCTCCTCTCCTACTGAAGACACAGAGCTCCCTATTGGGGGGATAAGAGACTCCCACCACCGGGAGTGTGGGCTGAGGGGACCAAGCCACAGTGCTGAGGGGCAACCACCCCGGGCAGGTGGCCTCCTGCACTGTGTGAGGCCGGCGGGATTTCCCTGGGATCTTGGGATCATAAGCAAGAAGAGGATACAGTGCAAACGGCCAAGGTGAGGAGAGGTCAAGGGCATCACGGAGAGCCAGGGACACCAGGGTCTCAGCTGGGGCAAAGTATGTGCCTGTGACAGCCACTGTCCCTGTGCCCGTTTCCTCAGTTGTAAAATAAAATGTCATCTTTTAGTCATTTCTGCCTGCAATACTGTGTGAGTGTGAGTGTGAGTGTGTGTGAGTGTGTATGTGTGTGTGTACAAGGCCCTGACTTATGCTGGTGTTGTGCTTCTGGAAACATCAACTTTCTTTCCTCAACATGTGCCCTGACACTGCCCAATCCCTGCAGCTCTGAGGAACCCTCGAAGGGTCGTGAAGCATGGAGACATCAACTCCAAGACTGAGTAGGAAACACCTCCGCCCATACTCCATCTCCATGGGCTGTGCAACCTTAGCAAGTTATTCCCCCTTTCTGGGCCTCACAAAGATGGTAACTGAACCCATTTACAGAGTTGGCATGAGGGTTTGAGAAAACCCTTTATGTCCATCATTCTGCACAGTTCCTGAGTCTTACAAGGGGCTGACACCCTGTTACCCCAGCAGTGATATCACTGCTGTCATTTCTCATCACAGCATTTTACATCTCCAATCAGGGCACACCCTGCCTAATTGCCACTGTGATTTGGCCTTCCAGACTCTCCCACTAAATGGCAAACTCCAAGGGACAATGGGGCCTTCCCCGTCTCATTCTTCACTCCCTCCTGGGTTCCTTGCTGAACACTGGGCTCATGACAGGTGCTTAGCCCTTGTCCTGTTGGAGAAATGCAGGGTTGGAAGCAGAGGCTCTCCACCTGGCTACGTGTCAGAGTCACCTAGAGCCTCCAAAACTCCTGTGGGCATTTAATGCCTGCTGGGAGAAATTAAGAGAGTGGAGACTGAATCCAACCCCAGTGGGCCCTCGGGGGTGATGGAGATTAGACAAGGCCATCCGGGAGGGGCCCCGAGATTGAAGCCTTGTGGCTTTATAAGGTGAGGGAGAGAGACTAGGATGCACTCCCATGCACTCCTTCTCTGGCCCTGCGATACCCACAACAAAATCTTTGGAAGAAAACTACAACACAGAGTGAATGAAGCCACATCCCGAGGTAGAGAAGAGGAGGTGGTCCCTAGGGCGGATCACAAAGCCCATGGGGTTGCAACAAGCTGGGTTCACAGGGACCTGAGCTCTGGCTGCACCACCCCACTGAGCCACGCTGCCCACTCTGCTGCCAACCCATGGAACACACCCATCCTCACCCTAAAAGGCACCCCAAGACCAATTGCAGGTGTTTTTACTGTAGCCAAGCCCAGACACTCTCACACACTGTAAAGATCATTCTTGGGCCTTGCAGGATTGAGGAGAGAAAAGTATGCCTAAAATATATAAATAATTCAAGGCTGAGTTTATTCACGATGCTGAGTTTTCTCCAGGCAGCGGTTTGTATAATCTCCCGTACCCTGCCAGTCGGGCTGCCTCTGTAGCATTTATTACTGCAGACAACCCGTTAGAAGCTGTTTTGATTTATGCATCTACATTCTATTACGGAGGTAAGTTTATAGCACACTGCTGGCTCTCCATGACATGGAAGGAGGGAAAAAGAAAGAAGAAGACGGCTGACGAGAGCAGGAAGAGCCACTTGTGCCAGTCCTGAGGGGAGCAGGAGAAATGGGGCCACAGGCTACATTACTCAAGTATTTAATTAGTTTTCTAGGACACAAATACAGGCAGCACATACACGCCCATGCACACACACATGCACATACACACCCATATGTGGCGACACATGTGTATTGCATCATCAGGTCTGCAGAAGACAGCACATGCTTATCAAACAGATTAAGTGCCAGCTTTCCCTTCTAGGTCACAAAGACACACTGGTGAGTAAACTAGACAACTCCTGCCAACGTGCTCCTGTTGTAAGTGACGCTGCCACCGTCTCTAGCTTCCCCACAATGCTTAGCTGGGGGCGGACATGCGTGTGTCCACAAACATGTCAAATGCATGAGCGAATACAGGATAAGGAGCAGATGATGCTGGATTGCCAAGGTCCCTGTTCTAAGAAGAACCAGGGCAGAGCTGGTGTCACAATGGGCCTTGGTGGTCCTCACATCTGGGATATCTTTGCTCGGCTGACTCGCACGGCTTGGGGGTGCTTCCCTATCCACCCATCCCTTCAGGCTTCTGCTGGGGTAAGAGGATTGACCCAGCCCAGTCCACCTCTCTCATGCCCAGCAAGCCTCACCCTGCGGGTCCTCAGGGCATGGCAGAAGAGTGGACAGGAAGAAGAACCGCGGGCCTCTTGCAGTCTAGATTTAGAGTCAGGTGACGCGAGGGTCATCGAGGTTTCAGTTGCACATAGCACACTTCAGATTCTGCTCTGACACGGAAGGAGAAACAAAGGGGACAGTTGAGGAAAGAAGAGGAAGAACCATTTCTGCCAGTCTCCACCAGCTCCCACCACAGAAGCCCAGAATGAGCTACAGTGAACACAGAGGAGACAGCTTCCACTCCGTCTTCCACCAGTGGACTCCACATAAACGTGCTGTGATCCCTCTGTTCACACAACACCAGGAAACTGATCAAGAAGACTGTGTCATCCCTAATGTGGGTCAGGAAGGAAGCTGCTTCTGGAACACAGAGAAAGGCTGGGAATTCCACCCAGCTGTTGGCAAAGCGTTGGCTTCCTACAGCTGGGGACCAATGGAGCTGTGGGCAGGGGGCGAATGGCGGCTCGTTCCGCAGTCAAGGGTGGAAAGGTTCCCAGCTGGAAGAATGTCTCTCCGACACTCAGCTCTGCCAGGCTGCAGTCAGCCTCCCCCTCACCTCCACGGTCTGTCATCGTTCTGCCCAAAACACCTGAACAGAAGAACTTGGGGGAGGAAAGCTTTATTTTGCGTTCTTGGTTTCAGAGGGTCAGTCCATGCCAGGTAATCCCATTGCTCCGGGCCCCAGGTAAGGTAGGGCATCATGGTGAAGGCAAGCTGCTCATCTCCTGGTAGTCAGGAAGGAGAGAGAGAGAGAGAGAGAGAGAGAGAGAGAGAGAGAGAGATATCAAGGCTCAAGAGAAAACATGTAACCCCCAAAGGCACACCCCCATGACCCACCTCCTCTAGCCATGCCCCCCCCACATGCCTGTGGTCCCCTCGGTTAGTCCACTTGAATTAGGATGGACTTACTATGTCTCAACTCTTATAATCTAGCCATTTCCCCTCCTGCATTAACACAGACACTTTGGGGAAACGATTTATATCCAAACCACAGCAGCCATTTTACAGTGAAACCCAAAATCTGGTGGTCGATTGAAAAGTGACGACATGCTCCTCAGGTCTTCAGATTCGTGACTCTTCCAATGCAGAACTGAGATCAACGCTGGACTGGAGGGCATGGCTTAGCTGTGAAGGCCCACGAGGAGCAAGCTGAGGTGTGCAGAGCAGAAACAAAGGAAGCACATGACTCTTCACCCATCGGCTGCTGGTGCATTGAGCCAGCAACTGCACAAGGGAACGAGAAGCCCGCTCCAAGCCCCCAGCAAGAGGAGGAGCAGAGCTCAGTGGGCACCAACTGCAGAGGGCTGCCACCCTCCTGGGAAGTTCACCATGCCGGAGAAAAGGCGGAAAAGAGGCTTGTCTGCTCAAGCAAATGGAAGGGTGGAGATGGGGACCTGCCTATGAGGCCCACGGAGCTCACCTGCTTTAGCAGCATTCGCAGCCTCGGGGCTTGTTAAGCTGGGACCAACAGACTGGCCATCTTTCCCTCTTGACACAGAATGAGGGTGGCAGGTGGGAAGAGGGATCCCCTCCCCTTCTCAGCACTCACCAATGAAGAGAACGGGTAGAAGCCAGCTGATCTTTGAAAAGATACTAGAAGAAGAAGAAGTGGGAGTCAGCATGCCACCCCACAGAGAAGCCAAGAAGGTTGATAGCTTTGAAGGCTAGTTTAAAAAAAAAAATCAGGCAGAAGGAGCTAAAAGGTTGGACAGATAGCATTTGCTGTGCCTTGGCCCCCTGGGAGGTCAACCTGTCTCTTAGGCACAGCTTGATGTGTGGGCCAGGGTTAGGTCCCCCAGAGAATTCAGAGGCAGATGCTAAAGGGGTCCTCAGAACACTGCAGTAGCCAAGGTGTGAGCCAAATGGGAGACAGGGGACCAGAAAGGGGAGGGAGGGGACCACCAGAGAGGACAAAAGAGAGATGATGGGGACTCATTCAACACAGGCCATCTCCCCATGCAGGTGGATGGCTACCTCCCCCAGAGGGCTCAGGCAGACAGGATGGACAGTGTCCAAGGCAGGCTTAATGACCTCCTCATTCTGGTCTCTTTGTTCTCTAAAGGCATGTACAGCCGCATTAGTATGCTCAGCCAAGGGCCTCCCTTTGTTGTGGCAGGTGCTGCAGGAATTCAGAGCAGCTGATGTTTCATCAAACTCTGAGCCTGCAGAGAGCCCTGGGAGGTCAGAAACCCCAGCCCCTGCCCCTCACATCTGCTCCGTCTGTGGAATGCTGCCACAGCTCAGGAGTATTTTGAAAATCATGTTTATTGGACCTCATCTTCTTATTTTAAGAGGATACGCTTGCACAGGAGGAAAGGTGGAGCATGCACTGGAGCACACAGAAGAAACGACAAATAATGTCTAATCTTACCACCCACGGCAGACACTGCCGACACTTCAGGTCTTCCCTCTCCCTCCCTTCCATCCTCAGGTGTGGAGATGGTATGTGCGCGTGCATGTGTGTGCGTGCGTGTGTGTGTGTGTGTGTGTGTGTGTGGTGAATATATAAAAAGTGAGACTTTTTCTATTATTCCAGAAGTGACAAATAAAACTGTGAATAAGGAGGCATTCAGTATCACATATTCTCAGTAAAACCAAACACCTTCCTCAAACCTTGCAGAGCAGGATAGGACCCAGCCATTCTACTTCTGGCTCTTTATCAAAGGAATTGAAATCAGCATCTCAAAGGGGTCTCTGCACTCCCAGGTCCATTGCAGCATGGCCCACAATGACCGTGACACAAACAACTTCGAAGTCCACTGATGATCGAATGGATAAGGAACCTGGGCTCCACACATATTATTATATTATATTATAGTGGAAACTGTGCTGCACTAGACTATTACTCAGACTTAAATAAAGATAATGTTTTCACTTCTGACACAATAGATGAACCTATAGAACATTTTCCAGACACAAAAAGGCAAATACTGTATAATTTCTGTGTTACATGAAATCTAAAATAGTTAAATTTGTAGAAGCAGAGGAGTCTGGAGATGGGAGAGACAAGGCATGAGGAGAAGCAATAGGTATGTCTTGCCTCAAGGGTGATTGGATTCATGTGTGTATGTGCACCCCCAAACTCATCAAGTCACATGCATTAAATGAGTAGAGCTTTGGATATGGAAATCGTATCTTAAAATGACATTTAAAAAATAGAAATGAAATGGTGCTTAAACCTCACTGCTACCCCCCTGACCGATACCCAGCACCACCACCACCAAACTCTCCCTCTGTATGAGAAGAGCAAAGTGAGGAGAAAAGGGCCATTTCTGATTGTTGGGTGGGAATGCTAGGCTACAGACTCTCTAAGAACTAAACAGGAGCTTATGAATATGGAAGGGGCTTTCCAGAAAAATAGCACATAAATTTGAGGAATTTTCCAGAAGGGGAATACTGACATCTCACTCCCTGGCTGTGCCGTTGATCAGACGGGAGCCTTGTTGATTTCTTCTGCTCCTTCCTGAGTAGGAACATAGAGCCTTGGTGGGAGAGGGCAGAGGAGGGGCGGCCCTGGGGCAGTGGGCTCCTTCAGCTGTCAAGGTGGAGACGCATCGTCCTTCTGGAGGTCCAGCGGCCTCTGGGAGAGTCAGTCCTCACCCCCACACAAGACAGCAGGTTGCCAAAGAAGAGGACCTGGGCAGCAGAACCCCCAGGAGGCATTGAGGGAGGGCTGCAACTGGTCAACTGGAGTTGGACAGTTTGCAGGTAGAAGACCCCTACAGAGGACCTTAGAAAACTGACAACACCCCCACCACAAGTCAGCCATGCAGATGGAATCCTGCCATGGGGACCCATCGGTGTGAACCAAGGGACGACTCACTGCTTGCCTTCTTCCTCCTCCACCCCAGCACCCGGGAGGCCCTGTTGTCCGAGTGAGCACCCACTGTCCTGAAAGAAAGGATGAGGGAAGGAGGGGAAAGAGCAGACTGTGTCCTTGCATTCACGTCCCCAAGCCTCCAGCACCAGAGGGAGAAGAACTTGTCACCACCAGAGGGCACAGGAAGTCGTGGGGTCTGCTCTTCAGTGAGTAAGAGACGTGACCCAGCATTGTTGGGACGATGACGGGGGAAATTCTTTATGTTCATGACACAGCACGTTGACATCCTTCCAGAAACCTCACAGTACACATGCACACACACACTTACACGGATGCACACGGTCATCCACTCACAACCAAGTGTGGCCCAGAGCCTCTGGTTGTTCTCACCCTCCCTCCCGAGCAGACTCCATCATTTCCCTTCACATACGGCAACCTCCAGTGGCCAGTCTTCTCCAAACCCTCATCCAGCATCAGGTTCCTCTCCTCCCGACAGCTCACACCTGCCCGCTGGAGACTTGAGTGAGCAAGGACACTGGCTTTAAGGTCAGTTTCTTCATTCCAACCTGCTGTCTTGATCCACTGTCTCTCCCTTTTGGATGGCGCTTTAGGATTTTAAAGAAATTAGAGAGGGCGTAGTACATTGGTGACGGGTCGAGTTAGCCAAACAGGAACATAAATCCCAGAATTTCATCTCTGGGAGCTTCCAGGTTGGAAGGGCTCTAAGAGGAATGGACACTGGATATTGAAGTCCACAGTGAAACAACCCTTTTTTTTCATTCCTTCAGGTTTGGCTCAGGACCCCAGAGACCGCGGCTGCCCTTCCACATGGTCTGTGACCCTCAGCCTGCCTTGGTGTGAGCAGCCCCCCAGCCCCCTCTGGATGTTTCCTAGCACTTCATCACATTCTGGGCCAAGTTCACGTGCAGCGTTGAGGTGCAGGGCAGCAGCTTCCCTTCCAGGTCCTCGTGAGCATTCAGGGTGGAGACGGTGTGATCTAGGACATGGCTTAGGCCAGCGTTTGTGGGTCCCAGTTTTCCCTCAGTCTTCTCACTTCCTGTTCCTCTCTCCTCCAAACTGCCTCCTTCCCCAGCCTCCTGACCTCAGGGCCAACACCAGCCTCCAATCGTTCTCCACCAACTCACCCAGGGTTGCAGGACCTAAGCCCTGATTCTGCATCGCTGGTGCTGATTCTGCCTCTTTGAAACACAATTGATAAAGAGAAACAAGAACCGACTCCTGGTGCTTCGCCAGCCCCTGTAGCTGGCCACGCGCCATTTCTTCGGTTCCTAACGTCCTCTTCAGCTATTCCTTTGGTCACCTCTTTTCCTAGGAAGTCCTCTTCTCTGAAAATGTCGATAAGGCAGTCCATGGCTAGCTTCCATACATAGGATCCATTTCTAGTCTACTAGGAACATACGTAAACATGAACCGAATTCTGGAATCACAGTCTCTTCCTAACAAAATCCTCTACAAACATTCCTAGTCCTGAATCAGATGCTAGTGTTCATATTACCCAAATACCAAGAGAGACATGTCAAGTTCTCAAGTTGATTTTTTTTTCAATTCTTGTTGTTTAACAAATACACTCTTCATACAGAGTAGAGTTTATTTTTCCTCCTCCAGTGATGTTGGGCTTGGTAATATGACAGGCGTGGGCCAATCAGTTTTAGAGAATATGCCACTATTCCAATTCTGTGTGAAGATCTTAAGAGGGATAACATCTTTCAGCTAATTCTTGTATATCATGTGCTGGGAACCCAGTAGCTCCAAAATGATAAAACACACAGAACAGACTTAAACACAATCTGAAGTTAGAAACAAGCCTGTTTAAATCGGTCTGAAGTAGTTTTTCCTAGAAAATCCCAGCTTACCTCAACTGAAAATCTCTGGAAATAATTGCTTATTGTAATGACCTAATGAGCTTGTGGTATTATTTGTTACACAGCATTCTAGTAATTGCTGACTGGTACACATTGTTTATAGTGAGAAGTAAATATTTGTTTCCAAGAATTCTCTCCAAAACACTTTCTCAAATAGCTGATCTGATCCTTTATTATCCTTTGTGTAGAGATAGGAAATAAGATAATGCTGAGAGAATGAGTTCTTGTGATGTCTCTTTGCAAGTGCTTAATTGATGGCTTAGCACATAATTTTTGAACTGAGAACAGTTCGGGATTTGTTTAGTGTGAGGACTGAAGTCAAATTTGAGATGACAGAACAAGTTCTTTCCTATCTTACCTTATACATACATATACACAATGTGGATCACACCATACAAGTAGATTTGCAAACTTCTTTGTTTAACTTAAAATTAGATGTTAATGTTTTTCCATGTCACTCAATTTATTTTCAATTATGTGTAATTAGTTTTTGAAAAAAATATGAGAGTCAATAATGGGAGTATCAAATGAAGGGGAAGAAGTGACCGTACAAATCACTTGGAACTCTTCTGCCCGCCTCTATATGGTTTGCCCCGTCACTTGGAATGTTCATTCAATTGATAGAGCCTCAGTGTTGCCTAATGAAGTCATAAATCTAGCAAGGATTGAAGTCATCCCACTTGTTCCTTTTGTGCCTAAGGGAGGGATTAAATTGTATTAAATTTAACTTAAATAAAAAGTGTCAAATTGAGTTGAACTGTAGGCAAAGCAAAACAGAGGCATGAAGTTCCCCCCAAAACAAATCATGGTAGTGTTTCTGAACAAGACTTTTCTTTTTTACTCTCAACAAAACAAGTAAATAAAATTCTTCTCCGAATGTTTAAAGGTGTCTGCCCCTATCCTATGCAAGGCTTTAGACCTCCAAAGAAAACAGGGCGAATTTCACTAATAGAATCATGCATGTTTACATCAGATCTCTAAAATGTATTATATATAAAAATGTAAATTTTCATTTGTTTCCAAAATTTCACCTCCTTCCCATTCTACCGAGGCTTCCAAAGAAAAACAATTGCCTTAATTTGTTTTTCAAATGTCATATCTCCCCACCCCCCACCCCCCCATGTCCTCGGCTGCCTTGGCAGAGCTCCTTGGCTTCAGACCATCTACCTGAAAATGGACAGCTATTCTCAAAGGATTTTTTTTTCTAATCTTATGTATAATTGGCTATAAGATAGCCCCAAACCCCTTTGGGATGGATGCTAAGGGGTATAACATGGGTGGAAGGTAAGCTTACCTTCAACACTGATCTCCAGGACTGCGACAGGGGAAGCCCAG